ACGATCCGCGATTTCAAACTTATAAGTAGACATTATTAGTCCAGGTTTCCTCACGGTGTTTTCCTTCACCGTATGTCAATGGTATCTAAATAATAATCAAAGAAAGTACATTAAGTTGGAATAAGTCACATTGGTACTCGCCAGATTTCGCCGCACCCTCATGCATGAGAAGCGGTTGCCTTAACCCCTTAACCTCCGGGGCTCCATGATGCTACACAGATCGTACAGTCAGTAAGTACCTATACATATATTTTTATGATATTAAATGTAACTAAGGAACAGAACCAACCAACGCCGTCCACAGACACTTGCAACACCAGAGAAGGTAAAGTAACTGTGTTGCCAGTCTTCAAAAAATAAGTTAGAAGGCAAAAAATGACCTATTCAGTATCAAAATCAGACTTCAAAAACGCTGAACCGACCAGCAATTAACCACTGGCCTACGTAAAACAGCTTTATAATATGTAATTAGCGTGTTTCTTTATTAAGAGTAAAAAAAATATAAAAAGTTTGTTCTAAGAGCGCGTCGCCGCCGGTTCTTACCCAAGATGCGTTGGCGCCTTGGCAGTTAAAAAGTACTTCTTTTTTATTTTCTTGTTTTGTTTTTGGATAAACTCTTTCGCGAGTGTCATAATAAAATTTGAATGGCTTCTGTTTAAAAAAAAAAGTTAAGCGAGAGATCACTAGCGCTTAGCGCTGATCACAAAGCTACGAATACGTAATCGTAAGTAATATTTAAAAAGTAAAATTCTACTGGTTATGTGTCACTAATACTTACGTATGTATGTAACATTGGATTTTTGCTGCAACTGTGGTAGACAGGATCCTAAGAGTGTGTCGTTACTTCGAAGCTCTGCTGGTCAGAGCTTCTTAGGAAAAGGTTGATTTTCGTAGCCGCTACGAACGAAGGGGGTGTTTTTTAATCACTTAGAGTCTGATACTTACGCCCCTACTAGGGCCGCAGAAATCATATAATCATTAGCTCTTTAATAAAAAAGTGTAATGTAAGAATGGCACAACCCTAATTCTATACTTAGTCTTTCTCACCAAGGGATAGGCATCTTTTGCAGTATCACAACGTGCCACGGTAGAAAATTAATACGTAGAATTTGGAAATATGAGCTTGGGTCTGATAGATACCAAGTATCTACATAGGCCTTAAAACCTCAATGTACCCTTGTTTAAAAACGCATTCATTTTATTTATCCCAGTCAAAATACAAGTCCTGATTTCCGGACCAAAACATATTTTTTATTCAAAACTTTCTTTAATTTCTCTTGACCTACGTCTATTTTGATAGCACTTTGTGTAGCCGACGTCACAGGTAAGATACTCAATGATTTTTTTTTCTAAAGCGCTTCCCGCCGAAACGAGCACGCGATCGCTCGGGCGCCATGTTGGTTCTTTTTTTTTTAAACCGCAGTTGCGTTCGGTTACAGCCCAAGGCGAAAAACAGTCACTCAAAAGTCACGCGTTCAAAAAATAATAATACAACTAAAAAAAAGGAAGGATTTTGAATGATACAGTTTTTTCGGTAAATTAGAGATTTGAAAGAGGAATAGTTTTTTAAGAAATTGCGTGCCCGACTTTCCGTAATGATACGTCTGGTGTGGTGCGGTGATTTTTGACTTTGCCCTCGCGGTTTTCTTTTTTTTTCTGTACAATAAATGCTAAGGTAGGGTTTGACTACATCTTCGTTGGTTTGCCCTCAATTATATAGGTCGTATTAGCTATTATTATACCTTTTGTGTTTGTGGTAAGGTTTTGGGGAAGCAATTAAACTACCCATGTTATTGTTTACCAAATTTAGGTAGCTGGCTGATTGCTTTTGACATTGAAATAATTTTTGAATGCACCTTTGGCTACTGATTATGTGTAGGTAAGTAACTAAATAAATAAATTTCTTGGAAACGTTAATATCGAAAGTATTTTATTTGTTTTTCAAATCTAGGTACCTAGTAGACTGCTGCTCACATGAACCCACGTAAGTGCCTATTCCTTTTAAATGATAGTATTACCTAACATTTGAACATAATTTAAATATTTTTAGGAGACAAGGCCGATTAATTACTTTTCAAAAGTGTTCACGCCGCTCGACAAGTTTCCGTTCAAACTCTAAATTAAAAAAAATCATAGCTATTCTGTCGATTTTACCTACTGAAACTTGTAGGTTATGCAAAAGTAAAATTTAAAGAGAAAATCTTAGGGCCTGGTACCTATACCACCTTTATATTTATGGACACATCTTTTATGTTATACCTACTTAAGAAATAAGTAGTTGGATTACCTGATGGTAAGTAATCAGTGCCGCCCACTTGTGAATGCGTGGCCAGCCATTCGGAGATTAGGGTATCAAAGATTTTCAGATCGAGGTGGGATGGGGGGTAAAGCTTTTGGTTTATCAAAACGCAACGCTGTGGTTGTCTCACGCCAATATTCACATATTTCATACAATTTATGTTCGATAGGTATTCTTTATCTGGTGGTAGAGGTGAAAATCATCAAAACTTTCAATTTTCTTTTTGTTCAAAACCTACTTGGTCCATTTATTTAAAGAGGAAGGTTACAAAACATTACATATTTTATAAGGCATATTACTATTTATAAGCATAATATTGAAGGCCGAAAACCGAGTGTAAGACCAGATTTGGTTGTGACAACCAAAGCTATAATAGGACTAGTGAAATAAAAAAACCTACCTAACTAATAATATATAATAAAAAATATATATTTATATATATTTTTGCCGTATGTATAAAAAAACCTGCGTATTACCTAAAACACAATTTTTTAAGTAATTTTATTTTCACAACAAAATATCCACTAAAAGTGTGGGAGAGCCATGCTAAGTGTAGGAGAGCCATGCTTCAGCACGAATGGGTCGGCTCGACCGGAGTGATACCACGGCCTCACAGAAGAGGCGTGAAACAACCACAGCGTTGTGTTTCGCCGTGTGAGTGAGGTTACCGGAGGCCCAATCCTTCCCCGCCCCCAATCCCTCCTCAATCCTTAAATCTCCATATCCCTAATCCCTAAAAGGTCGGCAACGCACTCGTAACTCCTTCGTTGCTGGTGTCCATGGGCGGCGGTGATTGCTTACCATCAGGTAATCCGTCTGCTCGTTTGCCGACCAATTACATAAAAAAAACACTGAATAGGTGCAACCTATGTGGTTGCGCCTGCAATGTTCTAATAGCAATTAGGAAGTTAGGCGTTCGGGGCAAAGAAATTAAATACAGGCGCATTTTCAGTAATCAAAACTTTTCAAAGTAAATAACACTAACGTACCGAGTATATATAGTTTATATAGGTGTGTATGATCTTATTATGTCAACGCAACCAATTATTTAAACCCTATTAATATAAAACAATACTTAAGTATAATAAAATAAACAACTTTGTGGTTTACGCGAAACTTTCTGCCCAACACAGGAAAACTTTGGAATGATTTTTCGGCGGCAATATTTCCGAACCGATACAACCTTCTAAATATTCAAGAAACTAGCGTACTTCTTCATAAAAACCCAACAGTGTACCTATGATTCTTACATGGGCGATTCTGATCAGTAGATAACAATGTCACCACTAACACGAACAAGTACAAACAATACAACTTGTTAATATTATTCCTAATGAACGATGAACGGACGGATTGCTCAACGAGCCGCGTTTCTAGATCACGCTTTAAGGATGGAAAATCTAAGGAACAGTATTTGCATGATCTACCCTATAAAGAGTAGTTTGAAGTAGGTATTTAGTTACAAGTGGGCTCTCTTTTCCCTTACACTAATCTAGTGTGTACGTTATCTATATTACAAAGAAACCCGTTATTAATACCTATATTTTAAAAGGGTTCTTATGAATGCATTCATCTCCGACTGGGTAAGTACTGGTTCGATTACCTACTACAATTTTATTTTTTGTTCAATAGGTAGGTACTTATCTGCTTAGTTTCGGAGCATTTGCCTATTAACACATGAATCCATCCTCTACAACATCACACTATAATGAATAAGATCCAAACTGATATTAAAAACGTAGAGTATTTAGTTAGTGAAGTGACAAACAAAGCGATAGGACTGGTAAAAGAAAACCAAACAATAAAAATGGCCGACATAATTAAGTATCTAAATATTATCACAGTAGGTACTTAAAAACAAATGCCTGCGTATTATTTATAAACATTGTTTCTTAAGTAAATTAATATCTCTATTATTCTATAATTTACATTCCTTGTGCCATCGCCATAATAGGTTGCGCCTGCATTATTTAAATAGCAATCAGACAGTTAGCGTTTGGCAAAGAAATTAATTCCAGGCGCAGTTACAGTAAATAACGTTAAGAAACATTTAACATACGCATGTAATGATTTATGTTTTTAAAATTGTAGGTATGAGGTGGTCTCGTCAGGTACACAAATTTCAATCCAATTTACACTAAAACCGTGAAGTTAGTAAATTTAGATGAATGTTTGTTACTCTTTCACTATTAAACTTCTGAGTAGATCAGAAATTTGGCACTAGCTTATAGGTTGGATGATATCCTAGACGGCCTACTGGTGACAACGTTGCTGGGAGAAACTAGTAGAAATTAAATACTATATTTTTTGACCAGAAAGAAGGAACATAATGTTATTATGCTACTCAAACTATTTTATAAATATACCTAGTTATATAATCAGTGAAATAAGTAAAAAGCCAGTGTAACATCATATTATTATAATTATTTATAGCAAAATACTTTCTTTTTTCTCTTAGACTTTTCGCTTGTTATTTATTTTTCTTCGAGGCTGCGTTCAGTTATTTCTTATACGATCAATTTAACTTGGCAAAACCACAGAACTCTCAATCTCAAAAATTCGTTAATAATATCCTGACCCGGTTATAATACATAAGATAAGATGTTGCATCGAAAGATTTTCTATTACCTAAATTCATAAAAATGTAACGAAATCAATGAACGCAGATTTATTTTGACATTCACCTATCACACATGACAATTGACAGTGTCAAGTCAATTTTATCAAAACATTCTTCGTACACATCACAAACGGTTGTTACCTGTTCTGCCGGCATTAAATATTCATAAAAACAACAATGGCATCTCGCAATATCTTGAAATTAGGAGCTCTGGAGGCTCAGAAAACTGCCTTCCTATTATGTGATATCCAAGAAACTTTCCGACCTCACGTAAAATACTTTGGAGAAGTTGTAAAAGTCGCCAATAAAATGGTAAGAATTTTATAAGATTGTTACGTAATAATCTGTTGATATCTATTGTATTGGTTAGACTTTCCTTTATGGACCGTCGATTTTGGGGTCAAAATGGGGGGAGGGGGGAGGGGGAGGGTGAGGACTATCCCCCAGGCCCATCCCCACCCCGCGGAGCCCTATGGTTACGGAGATATCCATGGTCAAAGTTTGTTAAAATTTTGAGGTTAGGAAAGATTTTTCGGATAGTTTGTATGTATGTATGTATAACTTTAGAATCGTACCGCAGTGGGGAGGATGCCCCCTTCCCCCAGTACCACTCCCATGACAAGGCAACTCACAGTTGCCGAGAAATACGATTTTTTATAACCTTACCTCAAAACACTAAAAGTCACTTAATAGGCAAAGTCTACGCGGGCTCCTACTTCTGGGTGGTTTGCAACATGCAGCAGGCATGGCTTCTGTCACGGCTCCGGCGCTGCGGGGCTCCGGCGGTCCCACGCGAGCTAATCGTCGCAGATGGTTTTACGCCCATCACCGCGGCTTCGGCTTGCTGGCCGGCTTCGCCGGCCAGCCTCAGCCACGGCGATGTGCGTTATAACCACCTGCTCCTCAGCTCGCGGGCCGCCCCGCCCCTCCGCGCCTTCGCGAATTTAAAAAACACTCTCGGGGTAGGGCAGAAAAGAGACCACGTAAAGTCGGTTTCGCAGCAATTCATTTCTGTCACTAACTTTTGTAGCACATTAAAAACATTATGCCAAAAGACAATGTATTAATTATTTCAATATAACCTATATTCAATAGGAATACTCCAAAAAAAAAAAAAAGGAGTCAACAACACGCGAAACGTCAAATTTGGCGTGAATTTTTCAATAGACTTTACAATTTTTAAATAATTATATCTCGTAAACCGTGAGTTTCCGCAACATAAAAATTTGTAAAAAGCCTTCTGTTAATGTGTACTATCTACAAAAAAAAAATGAACGCTCAACTCGACGGTCCATAAAGGAAAGTCTAGCCATTGTATTAAACATTGGAGCTATTCGATAAGATATTCTGAAGATCTTTCGTGTTTGAACCGAGAAACTGATAAAGAAAGATTAACAATATCTGTGTACAAGTGAAAACTCATTTGTTCACGATTTTTAGACTTTAAACTTGTCTATAACACTGTAAAAGGGTCAAAGGTTGTATTCAGACAGAGAATGAATGATCATTTATATTCTTAAACACTTTTGATTGTTTCCTCTTGGCTAATTGGTACAAAATGTATAATTTAAAGTTGTTAGTCCAGGTCCAGGTTTCTTCACTATGTTTACCTTTACTGTTTGTTAGTTGTGTCTAGGAAAGCATACAAAGGATAAAGCCACTTTGGTAGGTACTTGTCTGGTTTCAACCTTACAATAAGTGGAGTACCTCAACTACCAAGACAACACGAAATAATACTATGCCAAATACAGATATTAAATTTACCACCATTCAAACAAAAAGACAGTTAACTTACGAACAATACTTCCCATAAATTCCAGGTGGAAGCTGCAAAGCATTTTAAAATACCCGTTTACGTCTCTGAGCAATATCCAAAGGGTCTCGGTCACACCACAAAGGATATAAACATTTCCGAAGCTGCTCTAGTTTACTCGAAGACTAAGTTCTCTATGTACACTCCAGAATTGGAGGAGAAGTTGAAACAGGATGTACCTGATCTATCTTCTGTGGTGTTATTTGGCATTGAGGTGAGGTTTTCGTATGATAAATAATATTTTTTAATGCAGATTGGTGTTGCCATATTTTAACTAGTTTTTTCTGTGGGTTAACATTAAATGATTTCTCTCACTCTAGATTGGAAAAGAGTTCATTTGTGTCCACACTATTTTTGCTGCTCAAAAATATCATCATCATCATCATCATCATCATCATCAGCCTATAAGTGCCCACTGCTGAGCAGAGGCCTCTTCTCATACGGAGAAGGTTTGAGCACTAATCATCATGCTTGCTCAAAGCGGGTTGGCAATTTCAAACTTATAATTAGAAATTATAAGTCCAGGTTTCCTCACGATGTTTACCTTCACCGTATGCCATTGGTGTCTAAGTAATCATAGAAAGTACATATAACTCGGAAGAAGTCACATTGGTACTTGCCAAGTTTCGAACCCACACCCTCATGTATGAGAAGCGGGCTCCTTAACCTCCGGGCCACCTCAATATTAAAGTCAAAAATATCAAAGTTTTCTATTGTCACAGAAAATTCATGCTTATACTAGTTTTTTTTTGCGATTTACTCACCCTATTAACCACCCTTAATATACTAATATGTATTAAAAATAACAGGTTGTTAGTTTACATGTGACAGAAAAACTCCACTGTCTTTAACTGAAATAAATATTTAACTCCACAGTTGACACGGTGGATAAGTAATTAGATATCATGCAATGTGTCGCGATTTCCCCTCGGAACAACACATTGTGCGAAACACAAATTGTTGTTGAGCATACATACACACAATTTCGCGTGTGTATGTTAGTGGTTTTTGGTTGCTATTTTAAGTGATAATCGAGTATTTACTGTTAATATGATTAATAAAAGAAAAAAAATTAAAATTCATAGAAAATACGAAAAGTAGTATGGGGCAACATTTTTTTTAAATAAATATGCAACAAAAAGGTTCCGTTTTCGCGAGGTTTAAAAAACATCCAGATATTACTCTAATAAGAGGTATAAAGAAGAGGAGAAAAAAGAAAAGCTTTCTCATGTGACACTTCCGACCAAACTTCACACTACTTTTTTCACCTGATTTTTATATTGCGAGTTTTTACCAGTGTAAAAATATAATATTATTTTGTTTGTACATTTCAGGCACATGTGTGTATTGAGCAGACTGTGATAGACCTACTGAGTAAGGATATAGTTGTGCATGTGTTGGCTGATGGAGTGTCTTCCAGGTCTCTACTGGACAGGGGACTAGCTCTACAGGTATGGAAAGGCTAAATCTGAAAATTTTTCAAAGGGGATATCATTATTATGAAAAGTACATAACACACAGGAAAGGTCAGCTATAATCTCCAAGCTTTGAAATCAGCTTGGAGATAGAATGTATGTTACATCCTAATACTGTGACCAGACCCGTGAGGGTAGGCAGTAGGATTCCATAGTAATTATTGTATTGCTGATCATTGACCAAGTTGTAATTCCCAATGTCCTGCCAAATCTGGGGATTATGGTAACCCTTAAAGGAGGAGGCCTTAGTTTAGCAGTGGGCATCTTCCGGCTAATGATTATAAAGCGGCTAGCTACTGCCGCACGGTTTCACCCGCTGCTCGGCTCCATTTGATTGTGGCGTGATGTTTTATAGCCTATAGCACTCGGGAACATTGTAAATAAGTGAAAGAATTTCGGGAATCCGACCAGTGGTTCTAAAGATTACCCCCTACATACAAACTTAAAATTTGTATGTATTTGTTTTATTTTTTTACTTTATAATATTAGTATAGATAATACTCAGTCTCTGAATAGTTCAAACTCATGGTCTTATGACACCCATTAATAGAGTAAGGGAGGCGGTAAATGTATTATAATCCACCCTCGAGGAAAGGCCTCAGTTTATATCAACATAAATTGAAGCCTTTCGAAAGGCCTAACAGATATAACAAATCTATTGTTTTTTTTATGTACCATCAGGTAAGCAATCAGCGCCGACTATGGATACTCGAAATACGAAAAGAGTTGCTACAAGGGCGTTGCGGACTCTTATAGGTTGTTGGGGATTTGATGATGGGGTAGGGGGAGGATTAGGCCTCGGTATTGTCAATATTTTATGGCTTTTTTTATTTTTCTTACAATAATGAAACAACAATGAATTTATTTTTGCAAATAGGCCACTTTTACTCGTCAATTTATATGTGAAAAACTAGATGAAGCCGGCATTTCCTATCTGACTACTCTGAGAAGAAATGCCGAAACAAACTCAGAGGTCAGTCTCTTTTCAAGTCCAGACAATGTAAAAATAACATAATGTGAGAGAACCGTGCAAGTTCATTCTGTAGTGGTCTTTTGATGAAAGAACCACACCAATCCAACCAATCTTATAGAATCCTTATCAAATTACCTTTATTATTTCTTCCAGCGTCTTCAATCCATCGGTTGCTTTGTGGGCACCTCAGAAAACGTATTATTCAAGCTAATGCGAGACAAGAACCACCCTGTATTCAAACAAATATCCAAATTGAACATGGTACCCACTTCTGACGAATTTGGATTGGTACAGAAAAGTCAGATTTAATTTGCATACATTTAAAGTTGATTTTTGTATGCAGTTAGTTGATTTGTAATAATAATAATGTGATATGGGTACGTTTTGGAGACTTATTTGATATAGGGGGATGATAAAAAAGACTTTTTTAATTGAACAATATAAATTGAAAATATTATAAGTAAGTATTGATCTAAATTTACCTTAGCAACTGTTTCACGAGATAGCTCGACTAGATTCACGCCACGACAGGGGCTCATATTCGTGGGCAGCATTGCGTGACACATACACGTAAAAAGTGGCTTAAAACAACAAGTAAGCCATTAAAAACAATTTGTTAGAATAATATAGTCTCATGACAATTATAACACAAAATAAAAATCAAAATAACATTTCATACTTAGTTATAACGTTATAAAATGCCCCTCAAAAGATTTTCCAATCCTCGAAAATAATAGTTTCAAATTTTCAATATGGCGGCGTTTATCTTCTTTTAAATACTCTTTAACTCAAAATTTTTTTATTGTTTTTTTTTTCTGGTAGTTAAGCAAATATGTCAGTATAAGTTGATTTTCACAATAGCAAAATTGATGATAATTGTTTCGAACACATTTAGTAAATTTTAAGTGCAATTTATTTTATTTAAATTACAATATCGTTACCAAAATCAATCTTAGTTTTTTTTTCTTAAATAGTACCCTTTTTTTGTCATGGAAAAATCATTAAATGACCTCTCCCAGGGTAAGGCGAGAGAGTTTCAGACTCTTACTGACTAAAAACACCCCCGTTCCTTCTCCTGTTCTGGGCCGAGGCCGCGGTGACTTACTTAATAGTTCCTCAGTAGCTCATTTTGACTTTTTTTCGTTATTTTTAAATACTTTGATGAATCAAAATTGATTGAAGAGAAGAGGCTTAGATTTACTCAGCTATGTTTGATAATTACTTATGCCAGCGGTTCTCAAACATTTTGAGTCAATATCATTAATTCAAACTACACTATACCTACCTTTTTATGATAATTTTTGATATTTTTATTAGTTCTCTAAAATAAAAGAAAAATCTACCTGCTGTTTTAATAAAAATGGGTTGATAGAAGACATACAATAATCGCGTAGCCCTTTCAAAGGATTCTAAAGTGTGGGAGAGCCATGCTTCGGCACGAATGGGTTGGTCGACCGGAGTGATACCACGGCTCCACAGAAAAGTGGGTCAACACGACAATACGTATTGTAGTTGTATGCCTTAAAAAAACCTAGCACCACTCTTGGAGGACTTTTCCAACTGTTATTTACTGCATAATTCTAGACACTTTTTCAAATATCCCCCATGGATATCAAACAGTCAAAATTAGCTTCACGAAATTTTGACAGAAAGTGTAAACCATGATGTCAAAAATCAAAAAGTCAGAAATCATTTATTCCAATTCCCCATGCTAGGAAGTTACAATTTTAAACACATATTCCAACGAAGTAGTTAATTTATTTTTCTAGTAGATGTGTTGTGCATTTAAATTAATAATAAAAATTTAACCCAATTAATTATTTGCCTATAAAAATAAAGTTTATTTGTGAAAAATAAAACTCTTGCGCACATTGCAATAAGATCAAAAACAATTGAAAATTCTTTTATTAGGTGTTCAAGATTGATGCTTAAAATTAATAAAAACAATGAAAATAAAGATATATCTGTATATAGTTAAAATATGTTTTATTTTTCCTATTTTCTTCACCCATAAGCGAGAATATTTCTCAAGGTTATTAATACAGGACTAATTTTACAACAGAAAAACATAATTTCAAAGTTTCTGATAGAAAACGTACCTAATAATAGTCCATACTCATTTTAATATATTTTAAAATAATACAAAACTCAAACAATATTACTGACAATTTAAAAACCGCAAAATTGAATTGAATAACCAACGACCCGGGAATCAAACCCATGACCTCTTGTTGTAGAGCAGCATAAATAACTACTCAAGACTCCAACCAAATAACAAGCAAAAATTTTGAAAATAATATTTCATTTTCCAAGTAAATATAGAATCAAGTTATTATATAATTTGTCTCACCTTACTTGACAAACAGAGCCATTTAGTATATAATGATAATATTATTATATTATTAATATTATAATAAGGGCTGATTTTTCAATGGTTAGATAAAAGTTACCTGGGGAATAATTATGATGCTGTCGCGTCAGAATGTTTGTATAAGACAGTGACAGCAACAATTTTATTCCTCAGGTAACATTTGTCTGACTATTGAAAAATCAGCCCTAACATAATTAAATGAAATAAATTTATATAAGTAAGTAGGTAGGTACGTAATTTATTTCAATAACGACCATTTTAACTGCTCCTTCGCCGATTGTAACACCTGAAAATAAAAAAAAAACTAACGTAGGTATTATATTACATTATAACATAACACTTAACAACTCTGCAGGGATAAGGTAGAGGTACTTATTAAATGTGTTTAAAACTAGAGTTGACACGAATAGTGATTTAGCCGATTACTATTCGGCAACGCTGTTGGCCGAAGCGCCGAATATTATATGGTAAGAATAGGATTTGTATTTGACAAAATCAATTTTCAACTATCTGTTTAGATACCTAATTAACTAAATTTAAATATTCTTGGCACATGTTTTTATATAAAGATTTTAATTTAATGTTGTTAAGGGTTGATTTCAATGGTTTAATAAAAGTTATCTGGGGAATGATTATGATGCTGTCGCGTCAAAATGTTTGTATAAGACAGTGACAGCAACAATTTTATTCCTCATATAACATGCATCTGATTATTGAAAAATCAGTCCTAAGTATATTAAAAATCAAACAATTGTTACTGTCTCTGAACTAAATAAACCTTCATTTTCGTATCTGCATGAATTAATATGCACACTGTATCTATTCAATTATGCAATATCAAACTATTGAGATTTAGTAAGATTTTTCAAATAAAAAAAAAACAAACTCATGTAGTGACGTCTTTGGCGAGGGAATAGAACCCGATACCATCCATGATATCGTTCAAAAGTGCATCAGTTTTGTATTTCTCAATCTCGTACAATACTGAGACATTAACTGTCAATTTGTGTATATTATCAAGGCTACAGATCTATTTATTCATTTAGGATACTTAAAATATTCACAAAATGACAAAGTTGGCCTTATAGGAGGAGGACTTGATGCCATATGGTATTCTCAACCAGTTATCCTCAGATCTAGTTTTATACCTTTTTTTGGAAGGGGCAAATCATCCAATGATTTCTTTCGCCCAGGGTAAGGCGATATAATGATATGTATACCTACCATTCTGCATATTACTCGTAGAGGTAGCTACACGTTCCTCAATCTGGGACTCGAACCCAGAACACTACAATCCGACATGAAAAGAATCATTGTGTAAAACACAAATTGTTGTTCCGGGTCTTGGTGTGATGCGTATGTTAAAGTGTATTTTTGTAATCGCACCCATGATACAGGAGAAAATTTTATTCTGACTACATATTTATGTCCATCCATCGATTATTTATGTTCGGTAATAAACGCTTGGGTTTTGTAGGTATATTGTCGATAAAATAATGTTGTTGCATTTTGGTAGTTTCCTTTTGAAAAAACATGGCAACTATCGTTACTTATAAAACTATTAAAATAATAACCCACTTTTATTGTTTAATTTTACGATATTTATACTCAATGTCTGTATTTTTAGATAATCTTAAAGTAGGTTTTATGTTGTCAAAAAAAACCATGTCACAAAATGCTATTTTAGAAAAAAACCTTAGAACATAGTCGTTTGGAAACTACCATTATAGGAACTTTGGTAGAAATTGTAATTTAAAAAATTACTATTGAAAAGACTAACAAGAATTAAAACCAAGAAATTACCTTCATATTATACCAAAAATTTAATCTAACCTTAAAACATCTACAATATACTTCAATTTACCAATAAAAATAAGCAAATCTATGAACCTTACACCAATATTTAAAAACTAATGAATTTAAAACAAAAATATTTATTACAAAATTACAAGCGAAAATAAAATCGAAATGAACTTTAATTAAAAAAAACAAGCGTCAAATACAAAGCGATATACAGCCAATGATAGGGTTGCCAATGAGAAAAATAAAATGAAAAAAATAATGTTAGTAAATATTTTTTAATAAGCAACTAAAAAACTACTATTTTTTTTTACAAATAACAGCATACGTATTCACAACTATGTATTTGCCCCGTATTCGCTTACATATTCATTATGTTCTGTAGAATCTGAAATTTTTAATAAACAAAAAAATCGTTTCAATAAAAAACAAAAAAAAAAAACTGAATATTTTTTTCAAAAAGAAATCCCCGTGAAAAAGTGGTTTTTAAAACGTGGTTCTAATGAATATATAAATCAATATATTATCCCTTGTTAATATTTGTAATAAAATATACTTAATTATAATTAAACTGTGCACCAAAACACAAACTAAACACATACAAACAAAAAAAAACCCAAATTAAAAAACTAAAAATAAAATAAAATGTATTTCAAAAATATGTATTTATTCAATAAAATATAATGAATCATAAAAATATAAAGTAATATTAAATCATAATGTCAACTAAAAAAAATATATATAAAATAAAAGTGTAATAATAACTACTTAAATGTAAGTATTTTTATAAATTAATAACATTATTTTGTTTTTTTTTTATTTATTAATAATGTATTTTTTATTTGATAATATACTGTTATAGTCAAACATAATTGTTTTTAAAACAAACTTAGCTATCCTACTGATAATTAAAACAAATACATAGATTCCATGAAATTATAAGAGATCTCAGATGAATGGTGCAAGGTGTCTAGCCGGTGCAGTTAAAAAAAGCTTGCAAATTTAAGACTCAATTTCATTGTTTTATTTATTTTTTTCTATTGAAATACGCTACGCCCTCTAAGGCGTGTTCAAAATAAATCGTACTTATATTATAAAAGTGAAAGTCTGTGAAAATGTATGTATGTTTGTTATCCTTTCACACAAAAATAGCTGGACCGATTTCGTTGAAATTTGGTAAGTATATAGAGAGGTGATACCCTGGATTAAGCTAAAGGCTGCTTTTTATCAACATACCATGCGGGGAAAGCTGCTGGTGGAAGCTTGTGATAAATAAATTTGTAAGATTGTGCTCTTTGATACGAAAATCGACGTTTATAAGCTAAAACCTGACTGGTGAATGGTATTTTCGTCCTTTAAAATTGACTAACAAAGTGTATTTGTATTCTAGCAGTAATTCACTCCATAATCGAGACTTGACTTAATTAAAACTTACCTACATACATAACCCTTGCGCAAAATATCATCTAAATCCATCCATCCAAGTAATTTTCATTCCAGACGCTCCTATTATACGTCATCATACCAAGACTAATTTATACCACTCTTCACACAACCTATTCTCCAGCTATTTGTCACGCTCACACCAACGTAGAGATCGCAAAAATAATTTCATCGAATACAACAAACTATCGATATCGATACACAACGTTAGAACGGTGGTAACAACACTACAAAAGTTGTTAGATACAGAAAAAATATAGATAGACATTTCTAATTACCACCACTAGATGGCGTTATTGAGACGATTTTTTTGTCGAATCGATTAAAGTTTTTTTTTTGTTAATTTGATTCCGTATCTATCAACAAGAAACCATACCCAGTGCAGACAGACAGACTACCAGAACATTTTATTGACTTGTTCCATTACCTGGGCAACGGTTTGCTCGCCTAGCGGTACGTC